TCCTCTTCTTTCTCAAACACTTCTGTTGCTGTCATCCCCAACACAATGTCATCAATATACTGCAGATGTTCTGGAGCCTCACCCTTTTCTAATGCAGTCTGGATCAGTCCATGGCAGATGGTAGGACTGTGCTTCCACTCCTGGGACAATCAGTTCCAGATGTACTGCACACCCCTCCAGGTGAAGGCAAACTGAGGCCTGCATTCTGCTGCCAGAGGAATGGAGAAAAATGCATTGGCAATATCCATAGTGGCATAGCACTTTGCTGCCTTGTACTCCAGCTTGTACTGGAGTTCCAGCATATCCAGCATAGCAGCACTCAGCAGTGGAGTCACTTCATTCAGTACATGGTAGTCACAGTCAACCTCCATTCTCCTTCAGATTTACTCACTGGCCACATGGGGCTGTTGAAGGGTGAGTGGGTTTTGCTGACCACCCCTTGGCTCTCCAGGTCATGGATCATTTTGTGGATGGGGATCACGGCATCTCGATTCATTTGGTACTGTCAGCAGGGCACTGTTGAGGTGGCAATTGGTACGCCTTGCTCTTCCATCTTCAGGAGTCCTACTGCAGATGGGTTTTCTGATAGTCCAGAAAAGGTGTTCAATTGCTTGACAGCCTCTGTCTCTATAGCATCTATTCCAAATGCCCACCTGAGTCCCTTTGAGTCTTTGAAATACCCACTTCGGTGGAAGTCTATGCCTAAAATACATGGGGCCTCTGGCCCAGTCACAATAGAGTGTTTCTATTGCTGTAGGACCCCAGCCGGGGAATAATTAGTATTGACTCTATGATTGCAGAAGGCTGATTAAGTGCTTTATTAATATTATATTATACTATACTTATTAAGAAACTCAGTAACCTCTACAGCTAGTCCAATACAGCTTTGACCTAATTGGTCAATCCAACCAAACACCATCTAGTGTCTAATTAAGAAATCACCCATTGGTAAACAAATTTCTATGACACATTCCCATATGTGCACGACAGCAGGTGCAACAAGTGGAGATAAGAATTGTTTCTCATTCTTTTCTGTGATCTTCCAGCCTTTCCTGGGAAAATGCCTGGGAAAGTCTGTGCCTGCTCTCTGTGGCCAGAGAGCTGTTGCCACATGTTTGCTCCACTCATTTCCAGTCAGGCTCACCTCAGCTTCCACCAAAGTAAAATCTTGTGATCCCCCTGTCACACCAGCAATAGAAACAGATTCTGTCCCCACATGTCTTGATGGGATTAATGTGCACTGTGCACCAGTGTCAACCAAAGCTTCATATTCCTGTGGTTCAGATGTGCCAGGCCAACTAATCCCCACAGTCCAAAAAACATGGTTTTCCCTAGCCTCTGCCTGGCCAGAGGCAGAGCCCCTATAAGCCTGGTTATCCTTCTTTCCCTGGACATATGTCTTGGAGGTTCCTTCAAGGGGATCGAAAATATCATCATCATCATCATATATGGCAGTTCGGTTACAGGCTATGCAGCTGCTTCCCTTTGCGTGGAACTTCCTCTCAGAGTCTTGCCTTCCTTCAGTTCATGCACCTGTTGTGCCAGAGCAGCAGTAGATTTTCCGTCCCATCTCCTCATGTTTTCTCCGCAATCACACAGGAAGAACCACAGCTCAGCTCGTGAGGTGTACCTTCTCTCCCCATCTGGGGAACGTCTGCCTTGGATACCAGAACCTCTGATCTGTACTGTTGAGATTTGGAGAAGGTCCTCTTTCATCTCCTCCCTGAGTTTCTTGTGATTCTCCTCCATCTTATCTTCTAATTTCTGCAGACGTGTTTCCACTGCTGTGATTCTGGAATGCACAGCGTGTGCATATGCATGTGTTGGGCCATGCACAGCATCTGCATATGCTCGGAGCTTCTTTGCCATATCAAGCATGGTCTCCTCACCATCATTCCACTTCATTATTGCTAAAGCAGAAGCATATTCTTGTGGCCCAAGTCATACAAGTTTTTTGCCATATCACAGATGTACATGGTACCAAGTCTGGATTTACATCATCTGAGAAGACAATCTCTGCCACTGCCATTTCCCTCAAGCACTGAATTCCTTGTTCTGTGGTCTTCCACTGAGTTTGCTGCATATGGGGATCATCTGCACACAGATATATTTGTGCCACACTTCCCAGGACCTATGCCTAGAGACTCTGAAAGTCAGCCCCCCTCATCATTCCTTGGTCAATAACCAATTATGTGACAGGGGTCCCCAATGCCTCACTTCAGTGCTGTCCAGAATTGTAGCCTCGCCTGCAGCATCGCAAAGATGAACTAACCAACTAACTATAGATTCATCAGGTCTTTGAGTGTAATCCTTTCTTAGGCCACAAAGGTCCTTTAGGGAATAAGACTCAATAGTGGCTTCTGATCTTATGTCAGTTGCTTTAACTTTGGTTTTTGTATCAGTAATTGGTGTTGAGGGTCCTTCCCCCAGATCATTATCACTGAACACTGGCCGATTGGTTTTGCTTGCATGCTTCTTTCCTGCAGCGACTGCCAGTGTCTTAGGGTTACTGTCTGGTTTAGCTACAGCCTGAGTAACTGGGGTGTTGGCTGCAGCCTGAGTGACTGGAGTAGCTGCTGGTTTATCTCCCTGCCTCCCTGCCTCTGTCTGCTGCCCTACAGTATCTAGCTGCCCTACAGTATCTACAGTATGTGATAAGCATAGGACAGGGCCCAGCTTATTGCAATGAGCTTTTTCTACTTAGAGTCATCATGGCACTTCTCTTTCAGGTATTTCCCCACCTGTGTTCTGAATTTGTTCACGTGGAAAATCCCAGTCTACAGGGTCAGAAAATTCCTTCAGGGTTTGGCCCATATCCTCCCATTCTCCACACCACTCAGGATTTTCTACATCTGGGTCTACTCCTGGGTCAGGTGTCTCATCAGCTCCTCTGGGCATCTCAGCCCTCATTCTAGAGAAGCTACAGACTGTATAGAGGAAGCTTACCAGATTAAATACTAGGAAAGTGATCTCTTTAACATTCAGGAGAAACTGAACATTCTCAAAAAGTAACATAACAGATTTGAAGAAGAAGGAAAGGAAAGGAAAGGCTGGAAAGCCTCATCCCCTGCTCCTCCTATAACAAACTGGGTGCAATTACTAATAAACCCCCAAAACATGCTACTGGAACTGGGACTCAGGGTAGGATGAAGAAACTATAAACCATACTTACCTTGAACAGACTCCAGTACCTTTGTTAACATCCCATAAATCATTATCACCGAGCCCAGCACAATAGCTATTCTAATCCATGCCCCTCTACTGTAAAAACAATACCGGAAGGACAATACTGGAGCTATTCCTGGATACGAAAATAATCCTAGTGATCAGAAAGGTATTAAAACCTCAAAAAAGCCTAGAGATTAGAATCACATGGAGGCCTCCACCCTGAGAGACATTACGAGTTCAAGCAACATAGCTTCTGACTGGTTTAACCCACTACAGAGCAAGCACAAACAACATGCAAGCAATAAAGGTTTTTTCCACTTTCTCGGGCCGTGTTGGGCGCCAGTAAATGTATTTGTCCTGGTTCAGGGCAAATCTGGGACAGAAACCCCAAAGGGGCTCCTCAAGGGAGCAGATTCAATCGGCCTCTCCCTCAAATGGTTCAGGAAAAATACCTCCTTGGAGAAAAGTGGAAACAACTGTTTATTAAACAAGAAAACCTAAACAATATTAAACAATAAAATCTCTTGCCGCCCCAAAAGAGAGACAAACTCAGAAAGTCCCCTCCCTGGGTTGCAGCTCAGTTCACCCAGTCTTTCTTCAGTCCCTCTGGCACTGGAAATGCCACCGCCCAGGCCCAGCCCAGTGGGCCACAGGTGTGAGCTGCCGGTGCTCCTCTGGATGTTCAGTCCAGAGCAGTTCAGAACAGGTCCAAAGAAAAGGGAAAAAAGCCCCACAGTCCAGGGAACTTCTTTGCCTCGGCTAGCTAAAACTACTAAAAGCAAAGGAGAGCTCTGTCCTGCTGTTTGTCCATCCATGGACAGCACAGGTCAGGAGCAGGAATGTGGAGGAGTGAGTTTTCTGAAAACAAACGGCATGCTTCTTCTCTCCCTGCTTTGCTCTCAGAACAAGTCTTAAAGGTGCAAAACTTATTATTCAGCATAAACAGAAAAGACAACTGGGGTTAAAAGCATCATACAGTCAACCCAGGACACCCTTTAATTCAGCAAGTGTAAATAGCCAAACAAGCAAAGCTTTCAAGATTTGAAAATCAGGAAAGAAATGAGATATCCAAAGGTCCTGTGATTACAGTGCTTTTTATGTAGAGACAGGGATGCTTTCTATGGAGACAACTTTTCTCTAATCATTATTCTTTATAGGAGTGAGAAGACTTTGTTTGACTGCATCTTTCTCTGCCTGGAAGCATCCAAGACAAAATGTAGTTGTATAATAAATGATTCAAGTAACTAATGTCACTTCTGAACTGCTGCATAATAACCTCTTGTGACTCTGTGGCAAGGATTTTCTCTTCTTTTTACCTGATAATATGGTGTATATCACAACTAACCTTTGTTTTTGGTTCTTCTGAGTGCAATCTTCATGTTTAATACGAGCAGCTGCTATGAAGGAAAACAGTGGTAGGAATGAATATTCTTATAAAGGAGTAGTTTGATTTACATTATGGTCTGTGGAAGAAAGCAAAATGCAATTACTTTGCCAGTACTCATCTGTATAACCAAGTCAGCTTGTGTATTTTAATATTATCAAAATGGTTTAGTACATGCATTCAAACCATGGTGCCAGTAGAAATTTGAATGCAATAGAATAATTCATAATGGGAAAGTTTTAAATGGTTGTATTTGTTTCTGTGTAGATCTAGTAATTTCCTGCAATGATCCTTTCAGAAAATACGGTGTGCTGGGCACTGATGAACAATCTGAAAAGGAAATGTGCTGCTCATTGTGGAGCTGCAGTGTTTCCACTCTTCTTCCTGACCTGTGAATAAAACCTCCTCAGAACAATGTTGGGGGATATTGAATGCAACACACTAAGGCTTGGGAAGCAAGTAAAACTTTATTCAGAGTTCTGTATGCTAAATTTATCCGAGAGTGTTGGGCCGTTTTGGTGTAATGGAGTAGCTGGGCTTTGGTCAACATGGTGTAATGGAGTAGCTGGGCTTTGGTCAACATTAAAAAGCACTAATCTGACAATTCTTGGTTTTGTGTCTTGCATCTCTCTGAAAGAAATAAGTGAGGTCAAATTTAGTGGTGGGGGAAGAACAACACCCGCCCCCCACCACTCAACAAAACCCCCAAAATCAACCAAATACCACCACACACAACCCCTGCCCTCAGCCCAAGTTCCCAGACTACCTCGTCCGTCTGCCGGCCGCTCGCTCTGCGCCTCCGCAGCGCTGCCCGGAGCACAGCACCCGCTGGGAGCGGCGCTCTACGTGGAAGAGGCGGCGAGAGCCGGGCCGGGAAAGGTAGGGGGGGAGGGAACAAGTCAGACGTAAATGAGGAGGAGTCAGCACGGCAGGCATACAGTGAATGGGCAGTCGAGCTGAAGAGCCAGCGGGAAGCCTAATCTAATAACTGTCGGGGAGTTACTTTCTGCCTGGACGAAGTGAACTCTGGCCATTCTTTAATCTGGCTGGCTGTATTGAGACAAGGGAGCCTGTGCTTCTTTCGCCACAGACACTGGAGCCCACTTTGCGGTGAAGTTCTAACACGCGAGGGAGAGTGGCGAGTGCTGGCATGTGCGGGCAGTAGCTTTTCCTAAGTCTCTGCGTGGCGGGCCGGCGCGCCCCGCTGCCTCGATGCGGTGAGCCACGGGCAGTATGCGGCACGGAGGGACGGAAGGACCATTTCGCACAGGCCCATGGGAGAGCAGCTGTCACGATGGCTTCCATAGGTAGGTTTGTGGTTCCCTGCGCCTCTGTTTTGTGCATTTTCCTAAGTCTGAAAACTGGTCTTGTGTTTGGCTGGTTGCGCTCGCCGCAGCGGCAGGAACCGTGACCCCGGGAAAAGGGGAGGGCGGCCCGAGTTCCCTAAAGCGAACCAGCCTCAGATAGAGGCTCCGCTTGCAGGGTGGGGAGCTGGGAGCACGCACGCAGCCTGCGGCCTGCTGCTGCTGCGAGCTCTGTAGAAATTAAGTGGAAGGAAGAGTTACGCCTTTTGTAGTCATGTAACAACGTTGGGAGTCTGCCCAGAAACTGAGAAGGTTTGGAGACAAGGAGTTATGTCAGTATGAGAGTTTTCTGCAATCGCTGACAATGATTGAGGACATGAGGCAGGGCTCGAGAGTTTTGTCTAGCCACTTTACTGCCGAAGAAGCCTTGTCATTTTTGTGCGCCGTGTTGGGTCTTTTTCAAAGTAGAAGAAATGAGGGCTGCCTGGAATATACATAATTTCTGTCTACGTAGAAAAAATTTGTTCAGGCTGAGTCTTTTTCCTTCCCTGAGGAATTTTTACTAATGTTATAGCAGCACTGAATTTCTTTTCAAAAAAATGAAAGGTGTAAGATTTTGTAAACATGAGTCTTTCTTAAATGAGGAATATAGCATAGTTTTTCTGCTTTCTTGCTTAGTGAGAAAAACACTTAGTTGTATGTGCCATTAGGACTGGAAGGGTAATTGGTCTAATTTATGCATCTAAGACAAAGTGTGTTTGTTAATACATGTAAAACACTCTCTTACTTCAGATCTGAATTTTCCATGAAAATATAATAGGGTCTTAGGGAAGCCAGCTATTACATGCTACAGTGTACAGGATGCAGCAGAATAAAGAGCCTGGTTCCTACTGCCTTAATACAAACACTTTTTCTATTCAAGCAGTAGCAGCACATGGTTGGGTAAAAACTGCAACCCTAAAAGGAGAGTTACTGAATCACAGTTCTCGAAAGACAGACCAAGAAAAAAAATGCAAGATGTCTCAGTCATGTGTTTTGTGAACAACACTGAAGATAAACTGAACTGAGTTTGTTTTTACCAGTTTCAATTTTAGGTTATTAAAAGCAGCCTTTGAAAAGTCAGGGTTTTTTTTGGTTTTAAAATAAAATGGTTTAGGTATACTGCTTGAAAATCAAAAACAACCCTCACTTTTGTTATTCAGGCTGCAGTGAGCTGGGTTCAGCATTTTGTTGCAGGCAAGTGACTAGAAAAGTGAACAGGTTGAAGATTGTCACATTTAGGCAGAATTCTTCTCTAGCAGAAGAACAGGACCAAAGTGAGAGTTTTGATAGAAGGTCCAAACATTTTGATTGCTTCCTCTTGTTCTGTGAGGCAAGTATGCCTGAGACATCAAAAGCTGCATACTGGGACCTCTCTGGTTCCTCTTCGCAGCAGGGAACTGGACTGAGACAGAAAAAGGGGAGTTTAAACTCCTTCTTTCTCTCTCTTTCACCTTAGGAAAAGTATATAGGATCATAATACAAAATGGAAAATGACAGTGAGTCTTTGTGCTTGCTTCTCAGAAGTATCAGAAAGTCAGGCCCAAGCTCTGTCCCTTCTTCTTTCATTCAGTTTGCCCTCTCTACCTTCACCCTTGCCTCTTTGCCTTTGGCTTTGCAGTGTATCTTGTCAGTAGACATGAATGGCACTTTTCAACTCAGCCCAGACAGCTTAGACCTGCATCTCTGTCATTTCAAGCAATTTTAATTGGTAATGAACTTTGGAATACAAGGCCAATATTTTACTCTTTTCTTGAAAGCCCTTGGTCTTTCAGTGCATTTTGCCTGAAAAAGTATTACTGTTCATTGGAAGGTACCATTTGCATATTTGATAGGTTCTTTTTTTTTTTTTCTCTAAAACTATTGCAATTTAATTTTATGGTTTGATGAAAATTGTCATATTCAGCAATGTGAATGTCTGAAATTCCATTGTGAGATGACCCATGCTAAGAATTGAATTGTCTGTCTCTAAAGCCATTTTACTAATTTGCTGTGTAAAATTAGTGTGGACATGTGAATAATTGTGTTCTAATTGTTTTATTGGATTTTTTTTTTTTCACTACTGAGTGTACTACTGCTGTATGTAGAGACAGAGACAGAATAGGGGTACTGATAGTGATTCTCTCCTAAAGGGTGTTTTAATCACATTTTATGTTACGTGTGATCTGGAAGTCTTAAGGACATGCCTCTGCAGCTGATTTGCATTCCTAAGACAGCAAAGCTTGGTTAAAGTCAGTAGCACAGAATCTGCAAGATCTTTTAAAATACATGAAAAGACATATGCTAGTGATTGCTTTAGTCCTTGGGAAAGTTTCTTTTTTTCCCCTGGTACTACTTGGGAGAATGAAATGAATTAGTATAAGAAAGCCTTTCAGAAACTCATGATAAGGATTTTACTGCTTTCAAGATGCTGTATTGTTAATTCTGTTCAGCAAGTAGGAGTTATTTGTATTTTGATTTTTGAATGAATGTATGATACCAAGTTACCTGTAAAACAGTCTACCTGTTTTCTCAGAAAAGAAGCCATATAGTACAGGTCTTAGGGCTTTAGGGTGGGGTAAAATGTGGTCTGGTAAATCATACTTTTGATTCTGATTGATGTGTCAGCCTGTGGTTGCCTGGAGATAAGCTGACACCTGGCATAGCTTCAGAGGCTGCATATGGCTGTTTACTGGCAGGCTGTTACGGGAGCTAGAACTTGCAGAAGACAGGAATGTAGCAATACACTCCCACTTTTGTCTTGAATCTCCTGGTAGGCCAGAGTCGCCACTGATGGTGGTGAAGTGCCAGCCTTCTTCACCCAGTGCTGGCTGCAGCAGACTGCTGTGCCAAGGATGCTTCCTCAAGGGGCAACAGCTCTCTTTACAACTCTCTTTAGGGCATAAGGCAAGAATGATTTTTTTTCTTAAATTCTAAATTAATCTTACAGGCTCCCAAAACACAGTGCACAGTGAACACTTTTTAAATGCACACAGTAAATAATTGCATGGAGTTAAAAACCTTCAATACTGTAATGTACATTACATTTAATTATTAGCAGTTTTGGTTCTGATTGTTGAACATATTTTTTCTTCTACCAAATAAACATCCCTGAGAAATACTTTACTGCTTCTCCAGATGTGCTGTTTTATTTCTGAGGTTGTCAGCCATTCCATTGTTGTATTTTCTGTAATATCCAAGCATGGAATACATATTCCACTGAGAGCAACTAAAGCTGACCTTTTTTTGTGCAGAGAGATTAATGCCTGGATGCTAGATCCACTGTCTTAATGACTTGCCCCAGGTTCAGCCTGACTGATTACTTGCAAAGAGAGTTGGCCCACTCAAAATGGGCATTAGCAGAATCTCCTAGCAATAGTAATTTTGTCTTTTCCTTCACAAACATGAAAAATCCTGTTACATTTTCTCTGCTTGGTATTGGTGGGTTTTCAGGATGTGTGGGAACCGAAGGTGTCTCTGTATTGGTACATGACATGTACTGCTTCTAAATGAGAAGTGGAGCTACTTATGTTGAATAGGAAAGCATGTACTGTGCAAAAGACAATAAAGTTATTCCATTCCCTGGTATCTGAAATTATAAAAGACAAGACTTTAGACTTTCTTTATTGTTTTCCACTTATTCTGTGAAAGGGAAGGAACAGTGTGACCAAAGTTGATGGGTTTAATATAAGGGAATAATCTGGTTCACTGTATTTTAATGAAATTGAAAGCACAATGTAACAAGTTTAAAAGGTCAGAATTTCAGTGAAGTTAATACTTTGGCCAAAAGCAGGAGAGACTGTTGATCTCTCTTACTATTTTTGGCACCTTTGTATTTGGAAAAGCAAGGGAATGAAAGAGAAGATAATAACCTGTAAGAATCTTAGAGTGCAAATAGACGTGGAAAAGCATTGTTATCTGGCTCAAATGGGCCGTTACTTTGGCTTAGTTCAAAACAGTATTATTTTCTCTGTCCATTCGGCTTTTATACTAGCCTCAGATAGTTGTGAGGTAGTGAACTCAGTGTTTTGGAAGCAGAATACTGACTTAAAGCCCCCTTTCCCCAGAAGATGTAACTGAGGATCTTTGCTTGAGTTTTCAAGCTGATATAATCCACATTAACTAGCACCTTCTCATGAAATGGATTACAAAGTTTGAAATGTATGAGAACCTACTAAAATGCAAGGTATGGTAGTGAAACGACTGCTTTTACTTCCCTGCTGTTGTTGGGTGATTGTCTCTAAAGGCATGAGGTAATTTGCCTTTCAGCTGATGCAGGAAAAGGAGTGTTATCTATCTTTTATCTGGCCCATAGTGTGGGTTAAGCTACTCTGGGTTTTTTCTTTTTCAGTAGGTTATTTTTTTGAGTGTGTGTGTGCAATTTTTTTGTTTGTTTGTGGGTTTTGTTTTGTGAGTTTTGTTTATTTTTTGGGGGAGTGTTCTTTGTTTCAATAGGTTTAGTAGATTAAAGTATGGATTCATCTGTAAGATCTTGCTTAATATGCCTGTGTTGTCGGCACACCCAGCAGTTTCTGCTTACAACTGAAAAAAGCCTGCAACTTCTACAGATTTTACCTCTTGCTGCCAAGTAGAAGAGTGGACTGGATATTTTTGTGCCTTGCATGTTGACACAATTAGTATTCTTTTATTTTCTTAATGTCATCTTTCAGTAGGGTATGGTGCAAAAAGTCCAGCTCCTCTCTACGGTCCTGCCATTAAAGTTGATGATCAGTGATAGCAAATGTAAGTCTGACCTGGGTGCATGAAGAGATACAAACGTGAATGATCCTGTCTTTGTCATGTCACTTCTTGAAGTAGGGAGCTGCACTTTAACATTGTCAGTGTTTTCACAGCTATAAATAGCATGGTAGGGGCCTGAACCAAGAAGAACTGATGCTTTGCTTTCTGTCAAATGTGCCAGGCTCGTTAATTCTCTAGAAGCTATGAAATTGCAGAATTATTGATTCTGTGAGGTAAAGGGTTAACAGCTGACCAGTGAACTCTGCATCAGACAATGAGAGGACATAGCTGAAATATCCAGCCGGTTTGTTTTTAATTGAAGTAAAAATAAGGCTACTTTCATGGGAAGTTCCTTTAGGATATACTTGTTTCTAGCCTGGGAAGAGTTGTATGGAGTTTCTGTTTTTTCTGCAGTTTACATGCCTGGCTGCCAGTAGCTTTTCACTCTATGTTTTATATTTTACACCTGTGAAAATGGGGTGTAAAATGCATCTGTGAGCATGACAGTGGTCATTCCCTCAAGCTCTAAAGATAATAGCAACAATCCAAGGCCTGAAACACGGAAGAATCAAGCCTTGGTCCCTTTATTCAAGCAAGTGCTGTGGAAGAAGTGGAATTTGCTGTGTAAATCTAACTCTTGGACTAACTCTTATGCACGTAGTTGAGCTTCTATTAGAGTGGGAGATTTTAAGCTATTCCAGAAAGAGTGCCACTCCCCTCTTTGCCTCCAAGATTCTTGGTAACTGGGTTCCAGTGACTCCCCTATATAGTCTGGTATCAGGAGAACAGACAGAGACATGAAAACAAGCAAGCATGTGGAGAGAAGCTTGGGATTGTAATTCCTGTTCATGTGGGGAATGCATTCAGAAGCAGAATCATCTCAACCTGCAATGTAGTTGGGAAGCATCTGGGCAAGTCCATGTGCAGAGATGAGATGCTTGTTGCACTATAGGTACTTTGTCAAATGCTGGTCTCTGTAGATTTGTCAAAGTTGTGTGTCTGGGGAGGCTCTAGTAGTCTTCTTACGCACGTCACTTTGACTGATATGGGTTTGTACAGCCAGCTTTTCTGACTCCTATTTGCATCAGTATGAGGATGACTGTAATGTAGCCGATCTGGTAAATACAGATTCAGATTTCTGTAGCTCTTCCACATGAAACATTTCTGCAGTATTTCCTTAAAGTTCACTTCTATGGCTGTTATGAATATCATTAAAGTAATGGTGTAGTTAAAAGATTGTTTCTGTTAAAAGGCAGTTTTCTGTTTCCCTCATCCAGTTAAATGTTTGCTCTGTTCAGCGTGTGCTGTGTGATGAATTCAGGCGGTTTATAGTCAGGGCACTAACTTGCAGATTTTCTTGTCTCAGACATATCTTTTAGGTACCTTGCACACTCCTCATTCACGTAATAGCAGAATCAAGCTCTGCCATGAATTGAAGGGAAAACAATATTAATTTTGACTTGTTTTCAGTAGTTTTTTTACATTAGGAAGATTTGCTTATGGAAAAGGTGCATTAGTGTGATCTAAATTCTTTGTAGGAGTGGAATTATTCCCTCACTTCCTTGGTTTTGGGTTTTTTCACCCTTCCCTGATTCTTTGGAAGTGTATCAACTCAAGACACAGTAATTAGAGATGGTTTCATCTGTGATTGTCTTACTGGGTTTCGGTCCTGCTGGTGTTGAGGTCAGTAGGACTATTCAGGTGAATGAAGCTATTCAGATGCATGGGCATTTGTAGTATTATAGTCTTCTGTCATGGAAAACAGTGTGGTTGAGCCTGGACCTGTGTGAATAGGTGTTGACTTTTTAATACTAATACAGAATAATTAAATGTAATCGCCATTAGAGCTTGACTGATGATTAAGTGTACCTTTGAAGGACAGGGTGCAACTGTTCCTGTATAAAGCTATGCAGTAGTAGCATTCACATTATTCCTCATCTAAATGCATCTGTTTTAACTATATCCTATAGCATTTATGTGCAGTATAATTAAGATGAACATATTTAATATTTCAGTCAGTTTAGAAACCAGTTACTCTGATGCTGTTTGCAGGCTATTAGGAAATAAAGGTTACAGTTGTTTTGCTTCTTTGCTGTGGTATGGACAAAGTCACACCTGAAAACTGTAGCTGCACAGGTGTCACAGTTTAAGCTCAGCCAGCTGCCAAGCTCAATGCAGTTGCTGGGCACTCTCCAACCCTTAGGATTGGGGAGAGAATTGGAAGGGTAAAAGATAGAAGACTCATGGGTTGAGATGAAAACAGCTTAAGAGGGAAAGCAAAAGCCCTATACACAAAAGCAACACAGAACAAGGAATTACTTTACTTCCCATGGGCAGACAGATGTTCAGCTATCCCCAGGGGAGCAGAGCCCATCACGTGTAATGGTCACTTAGGAAGACAAACACCATCACTCCAAATGTCCTCCCCTTCCTCCTTCCTCCCCCATTTTGTATACTGACTGTGATGTCATGTGATCTGGAATATCCCTCTGGTCAGTAGGGGTCACCTGTCCTGGCTGTCTCTTCACAACCTCCCATGCACCTCCAGCTGCCTTGCCATTGTGGCAGTATGAAAAGCAGAAAAGGCCTTGGCTCTATGTAAGCCCTGCTCAACAATAACAAAAATATCTCTATTATCATTACTGTGTCAAGCACAAATCCAAAAGATTCACATACTAGCCTCTGTGAAGAAAGTTAACTCTACCCTGGACAAAACCAGCACAACAGGTAAACCATATGCTGCTCTGTGCTGCTAAACTTTTAAAAGTTGTGTACTTTTCTCATCCTGTGAGCAGAAGGCACCTTCGTGCCTTTACATCATGTTTATATACACAGTGATAATATACCCCTGAGCTTTCTTTTCTCCAGGCTGTACAGTTCCAGCTGTCTGAGGCTCAGCCCCTGCTCCTATGAAAAGATGCTTCAGTCCCAGTGATGGTGTCTTTGTGACCTTGTGCTGGATTTACTCAAGCAAATCCCTGTCTCTCATGTACTAAGGAGTCTATAAATATGCTTCATATGTGGTCTCTAATGCTAAGCAGGGAGGAAAGATCTGCTGGCAGGACCCTTGACCTGCTGACAGGACTTTGTGATGCAAGCCGGGGTACTATTGCCCACTTTTGACACGGAGTAGTATTGCTGGCCCATGGTCAGCTCATTGTCCATGAGAACCACCAAGTCCTTCTCCACAGAACTGTCTCCAGCCTGTCAGCTCCCAACGTGTGCTAGTGCCACGGATTATTCCTTCTCAGTTGCAGGGGTTTGTATTTCTTCTTTTTGAACTTAAGATTCCTTTTTTCCCATTTCTTCCATGTCTGAATAGCAGCACAACCATTTGGTTTGTCAATGACTCCTCACAGTTTTCTGTTGTCTGCATAACATGCTGCTGAAACCATCCCATTATCAGTGTTGTCAGTGAAGGATGTTGTTGACTGTTTCCCCTTGTACCAGCCCCAGGGTATAATGCTGTGACTTGCCTTCTAGTCAACTTGCTGCAGCTGATCACAAGCCTCTGGGCCCAGATCTTCAGGCAGTTTTTATTAGATCTCACATCCACTTACCAAACCCTTGTTTTGTCAGTGTGTTCATGAGGATATTATTGAAGACCAAGATAAAAACCTTACTAAAGATAAGGAACATCCACTGCTTTTCCCTTAGCCACTAAGCTAGTCGGTTTACTGAAGAAAGTTATCTCAGTGGATATGCATTATACTCCTTTTGTAAATTCATGCTGACTACTCTCAGTCCTTTTTCTGCCATGTGTTTGGAAGTTGTTTCCAGGGTTAGTTACTCCGTCGCCTTTCCAGAGACTGGGGTTAGGTTAACCAAGCCTGCAATTCCCTGGATCATCCTTAATACCTTTCTTGGAGGAATGAGTGATACTTGCTCCCTTCTTGTTCTTAAGAATCTCTCTCAGTCATTGAGGCCTTTTAAAGATTATTGAGAATGGTGTTGAAGGGTATCAGCCAGCTCCCTCAGCTCTCATGTGTTCAACCTCTCAGTCCTCAGTGGACTCAAATATGTCCAATTTGTTTTAGTTTTCCTTTGCTTAGTCCTCTACTGAGGGTATGTTTTGATCAAGATTTTTCCTGTGGTCTCAGGGGCTTGAGGTTCCCAAAGGCCTTTCTCACTGATAAAGACTGATATGAAGAAGGTTGTACCTCAGTGTCATCTGTGCCCTTATCCACCAGGTCCCCTGCCCAGTTCAGCAAGTGGGTCGCACCCTGAGACCCTCTAGCTTGCTACTACCACCCCCTGTTCCCTCTTCCATGCTTTCTTAACCAGAAGGGACCCTTTCTCCCTGGAAGAGACTCCCTTTCCCCCACCCCAGCAATGACATGAGGTGGTATACAATAACTCCAGGTCTTGGCCATGCCCCTACAGCGTACTGCAAAAAGTTAACTCTGTTGTGGCTGAGACCAGGACACCCAGTATTCTACTGGTATTTTAAGTGCAAATGGTGCACTTGACTAGACATACCTGTGGACTGTGAAATGCAAAGCATCTTGGAATAAACAGTCCATTCTCATCTTTAGGGCTAGAGAATGTATTCTGGAGAACTGATCAAACAGTTTGAGTGTAGCAATTCTGTAATCTCTATTCCCTCTGCTATGTGACCTGCTGGATGTTTTCAGCAATCAACATAATTTTGTGAAGTAATATCTACTGCACAAGCAAACAAAAAAAATCTTCCTTATAATCTTATTAAGAGAAAACCTAACTATTTTATGAGTATTTTTTTCAGTACAAGGTTCATAAAAATGCATGTTGTTTTTAAATTTGCATTTACTTTGTTTTCTTTGCTGCAGAATCTCAAAGTTACACAGAAGCCATTAACCTCTCTGTGGTGATGTCTGACAGCACCGTGGGCACTAACTCTTTGCTGAGGGCCAACATGCAGACTGATCCCTCCTTTCAGAGCTGTTTTGCATCTTCATGTACTCTTGCAAGTAGCAGTCCTATCCCAGGGGCAGAAAGGTAGGAAAAAATTCACCTACATTATTGTTTACTTCTCATAATGATAGTTCCCACCCCAGACGTTATGTTTGCATCTTCCCTGCAGCATTTTCTAAGAACTTTGAGGTGGGTTGTAACTGCACCTCTCTGGCTACAGAAGGCATTGTCCTGGGGAAAGCTGTGAGAAGATTAGACAAAAGAATGAGAAAGAATTTTTATCTTCACTTGCTGTACTTGTTGTTGTGAACATGTAAAATGTGTTATAGAGATTTGTTTACCAAAGAGTGATTTCTTAATTGGCCAATAGTAATAGTGTTTAGATTCAAAGACCAATCTAGTCTGTATTGGACTGTCTGAAAAGGCGATAATATTCTTTAAAAGTATATTATAGTGTAGTATAATAAAGCGATTGATCAACCTTCTAGAATCATAGAGTCAATGCTAATTACTACCCCATCAAGGACATCGTGCTGTGACAGTGGGTTGTGACATTTAATGTTGGTGTCCATCGGCTGGATTTTAACACATACACAGATGTTACTTTTATGTGAGTGACCCAATTGGTTTTGAAGATAAGTGAGAAGACAAAAATAAATAGAATTTTATAGCTCAGCTATGTTATTTGTTCTAGCACAAGCTCATATGTATTTTTGTGTGCTTAACTGGCATCTTTGATGTTTAACTTGAAAATTCACTTGGGAATAAGCTGTATATGAGAGAAAGGGAGCACTCTTCTCACTGCAGACATATGTTTTTAGTCAGTAAAATGTCAGTAGATTTGCTTTGGTAGTGTATAGCTAATTACCTTTCAACTGGTTAGCAGTTTTATTATTTTATAATTAAATTGTGGCAAACATGTAGGGCTCTGGACAATTGTGTGAATAGTATAAATTTACAAAGTAGTTCTTGTACAAAGGAGCTTACAGCATAAGCTAAGAAATGGCAAGAAACAGCAAGCAAACAAGAAGTGCCTAGTTACTGTTAGAATGTTCAGAAGACCATAACAATGCATGATCAGTCATTAGCTGTGCACAATATTTACTCCATGGACAAGGTGGTACATTAAACCTGAAGAAGTTACCTTTTCTATCACTCTTCAAAAGCATTCATTTCTGGTTAATAATCCTATTCTTCTTTTTGGCTATTTGGCTCCTTTATCACAGCAAGTATTTGGGAATACTTCCGGTTGGTTGTCAGAGTGTTAGTACTTCAAGTATGTCATTACCTATTTACTTTTTATTTATCTTCCAATCTAATTAGTTTCATTTTCAATTAGTACTAAGACTGTGACAGAATGTTTTGGTTTTGTGATTACAAATGTGAACCTTAAGAGGGAACAAAATATGTTGGTATTTGCTGCAGAAGAGGTAGTGTAACAATTACAAGTCGACATGTATTAAAAGCTTATCAGGCAGTTCAGTCATTATCAAGTTTACATTACTACTTCAGACTTTATCTAGAAAATTTTGTAAACTTCTTTATAAATATTTTTTCTATATTTTTTTATTTCACCTAGGAGGTAGCTACAGCTCTAGAGTTTTTTTTCTGGCAGCAATGTTTCTTTCCATTTGCTTACCTTCCGCGTCTTTAATGGCCTTTCTGATTTGAGCTGTTTAAATGTACTGGCATTCATTTCCACAAGTCCTTTTAATTAAAAATCCTTTCTCTTTTGATGTATATCTTATATTAGCTTTTTATCTTTGCATTTTACAATGAGTTTGTTCTCTCTGGATTTGGTAATATTAGTGATATTTTCCAGCTACTGCCTAAGGGCATTTGCGTTTTAGAAGCAAGGAGACAGCTTAAACTTTTATCAAATGATTTTATCAGATGCTTAGTTTCCTTTGTTTGGAAGGACTTTTTTTTTTTTTTTTTTACTTGAACACATAGAATTGCTACCCAGTAGAAAAACAGAATGTTTACTGTTGAAATATTTAATTCTATAAATTAGAATTTTTCCACTGTCTGCCTCCTTTCTTTTTGTTTTTGAATATAAATTGTATTGAAATAGATCTGGTCCACAAGTTATTCCTTGTGAACTGTGTTCTTACCATTATCATAGTTACTGATTTGTTGTGTGATGGTGCATAACCACTTCCCCAGCCCACTTATTTTCATTTTTATTCTGGTGAGTGTAAGACAGTGCATGAAAGAACTAGTATGGTTGTGTCATATTTCTTCCATAAACCTCTACCTCTATGCAGCTTTGGCATTAGAAATGGTTGCCTCCTATTGTTATTTTTCATGTAGCACTTTAGCTCATCAGGACCACTGTATGTGAAGCAGTGCTGCAAACAGCCTCACTAAACTGATTGATATTAAAACTTACCCCCTCAAACAGGGAGAAGTATTTTTAGCTGTCATTAATTTCATGGATTGGTTTACAGTGCAAACTCAGAAACTATCCCATCCACATGGCTAGGTGAAGGATGAGATAACACAGAGCATAATTATATACATTGAAGAAGTTACAGGTTAGGGTAAGGTTGGAATCCTTGATCAACTGCATTGCCTGGTCCAGAAAGAGCACCCTGAGATTTTTGTCCTGAGTGTGATGTTTCATTTCTTTCAATGACTACTGACGTATGGGTTGTACAGTAACATTTTAAGGGAATGATATGGCTGGTGTTTCATTTTTGTGTTCAATTTTTAGCTTTTTTTTTTTTTTTTTTTTTTTTGACAGCTCTTCTGCAGTAGAATATCCTTGGCTTGAAAACAGCTCTAAAGCTTCCCTGCCAACCCAGTTTTCAATGGCCAACACCAGGCAGCCAGGAGGTAATCTTGTGCCCTCTGAATTTTCAAGCGCTGTGCAGGATGTCTCTCTCCTGTCTCATTTCCAAACTCCAGGAATGCAGGTTGTCACCCTGAGCAACCTGGAGAGTTCACCAGCAGAACCACACCAAGAACATGATACCAGCAGCAGTGCCTATGCCTACCTGAGCTACAGTATGGGTACCAGGGACAGTAGTTGCCCTCAAGAGAAGACACAAGCTACTTACATAGCCAATGCTAGCACATCTAAAATGCTGAGCTCATTAGAGGCAAGTGCTGATGACAATGACTTTTCGACGCAAAACTTTCCTACCATGGCCTCTGGACACAACAGCCAGGACAGTGCAGTTTTGCATCACCGTGGAGGGAACCTACATGCTCAGCCGCCTCTTCCAGAGAAGAAGAGGTCCTCTGAAGGAGAACGTTCCTTTGCCTCTGTGTCACCTTCTTCAAGTGGCTTCTCTAGCCCTCATAGTGGAAGCACAATCAGCATTCCCTTCCCAAATGTCCTCCCAGATTTCTCAAAAATGTTAAGCCCTTCCACAGTGCCAGGTACGTTCTGTATCAGAGAAATGCAAAATACATTAGATTTTATATGAGTTTATAAAAAGAATTAAAGTGGAGAGGGGGAAAAAAAAGTAGTGGAATGAGAATTCCACAGAGGACTTGAATGTTTGCAGTAAATGGTGCCAGTTCACTGTCTTCAGATGCATTATTCAGGAAGCAAGGCTTCAGATTTCTTCTGCTTCCTAGAAGTCAGCGATTGGGCAGCCTACCTTTTTAGCTGTCAGACTACAATGGACCAGTATTGAGTCCAATTTCTTTTAAAAAGGGCTGACTTCTATCTACACCTTTTAGAGTTGTGCCAGTAAAAGTAAAAGAATGTATATGTGTGTTCATTGTGCCCTGTTGAGAAGTTTGTGTTTAATGCAGCTTTATAACTAAAAGTTTTTAATATTTTATGGATTTTGCAAAATCAAAACATCGAACATGCTTTCAGAATCTTAGTGTGTCTTATTATATTTGCTGGTTCTAAAACAGCTCAGTTTCTCTAAACTGGTGTAATGATGAGTTTTTTGAGTAATCATGGTGATTGGAAGATGGAAAGAAAAGTAAAAACTATTTTGTATTTTTAAAAATTCTTGACTTTCTTTCCCTTTTATTTCACAGAAAACTCAGCTGATAAACATGTGACTGTAAAATTTGTTCAGGACACATCCAAGTTCTGGTATAAGCCAGATATTTCAAGAGAACAAGGTATATCAATTGATAAATATTCTGACATATCTGTTCATAGAAAAGCTAGTTGGTAAAGTCTTGATTTTAGATACATACCTGATCTCTAAAAGAAATATAAAACCTAGAAAGGCGACAGACAACCCCTCCTGTTTCTTTTGTTGAAAGCCTGAATTTGAGTATGGAGGGCAGTCAAATAGTCCTGAAAAATATTCAGTTAATCAAACAAATTATTAGCCCAACTGAACTATGAAGTAATAGAGATCTACCTGTGGTAGCTGCTGCAAATGCTCTTTGATGTGAAGCTGCAGATTTTTGAATGGTAGATATGCATGAAACAACACCAAATGGCTGTCTGCTCTCTGAAACCTTTTGTGTATGTATTCTGACATGATCTCAGAAATTTCCTTAGCTAGGTCACCACAAAGGCATCCTCACCCACCAGTCATTTTGTAGCCTGAATTTCACTGTCAAGTGACATACATTATTAAGCGACATACATTTAAAGGTCACTACCATGGAACAACATCTTTATGATGTATGATGCAGATACAGTACTTTTATATGTAGACGTATTATTGAGTGAACTGAAGAGAGCTTTTATTACCTATGTGAAAATTAATAATCATGAACACCAGGAGTACTGCATCTGGCATACAGGAAAGACATAGACAGACCTGTTGGAGTGAGTACAGAGGAGGGCCACCAAGTTGATTAGAGGAATGTAGTACGTTTCTTATGAGAAAAGGCTGAGAGAATTGAGATTTTTCAGTCTGGAGAAGGAAATTCTCCAGACTGAATTCGGAGTGATCTAATTGCAGTCTTGCAGTATCTGAGGGGAGCCTATAAGAAAAATGGAGAGGGACTTTTTAGAAGAACATGTAGTAGTGACAGGGCAAGGTGAAATGGTTTCAAACTGAAAGTAGGTTTAGATTAAATATTAGAAAAACATTCTTTTCCATGATGGTGTCGAGGCACTGGAAGAGACTGCCCAGAGCAGCTGTAGATGCCCTCCATCCATGGAAATGTTCGAGATCAGACTGGATGTTGGTCTGGTGTAATTAAAGTTGTCTCTGTTCATGGCAGGAGCACTGGGAGTAGATGATCTTAAAGGTCCATTCCAATCCAGGCCATTCTTCATGATTCTAACAAACTGTCCCTCCAACAGTACATGTATAAGCACGCTGGGTGCTTGTTACAATCCACCAATCATAGAAGAGCAAAGTAAAGTTAGCTCTCTGTGGATTCCAGATAGAAACTTCAGGTTTGAATATTCTGTGAAATGAGACTAAAACCAAACAAGGTTAAATGTTGTTACCAAAAAATGGATATATTTTATTTAACAGTAAAAAAAAGAGAAAAAGAAAGAAATAGAAGAAGAGGTTGTGGGGGGACAGGAACAGATTAAGTAGAAGTATATCACCCCTCTGTGGGTCCCAGGGTTAATACAAGTTGGGCCAGATGGGAGTGCCCAGGTACCTCCCCTGAAGCGGGACAAGTTTGATACTCTATCTTGCAAGATTCTGAATCTGTTGCATCATTTTGCATCATGTATAGGGCTGTGGTGCAGGGCTTAGGAATGAGTTGGGGGAGTGCTTTAGGGGTCTTTATTGGATTATGACACTTCCTCAGCTGCCCCTCACATGAGTGTCCTGTGGATGTGGCTTTCCCAGAGTGGGGGGTTTTACAGCTGAGCCAGTTTGTGTAATGGAGGATGGATCTTCGCTGCCTCTCACCGGAGGTCATGACATATACCCAAAACTGTCCTTCTCCCGCCTTGGTTGAGGAGGAGTCTGTGCAAACCTGGCTGCAGATAAGCCTGTGGGCTATGGCCTCCACCCTGAAGCCATCTAGGGATGACTTCCAGGACAGCTGCTGAGCTTGGCCCTCCTGTGAATGCATCCTTCTCCCCCAGCCTTATTAATTTCTTTGCAAAACTGAGATGATTGAAAAGCAGTGTCACTTCTGTCTTATCTTAAGCTTTTTTTAGGTGGTTAAATTCACAGTTCAGGGTTTCAGTCAGGAGGTCCATTCAGGGTGTGGTGGGCTTTGGTGGTGCAGCTTCGTTGCTGCAGCTTTGTTACACACTTTTGCCATAATGGGCAAAAGTTCTTTATAACAGTGTTTCAGCTATGAAACAATACCATTTCAGCCTGTGACAGTGCTTTCCAAATGCAATTAATCTGACTGTGCTTGTGTTTATACTGTAATACTCAGCTGTAGTGAATTGTGATTAATGAGATAAAGCAGGACTTTAAACTGGGATTTTTTTAAAATGTGGTTGTCAGGAAAAATCACTAACTAGTTCTGCATTGAGAAGGATATTCATACTAAATCAAAATAGTGTGAACTTCAGCTATTGGCAGATGATGAATTGCTATGTCTGTCTAGTTACTAGGTTCTTGGATGGTGAGGATGTTCTTTTGTAGTGGTAAATATGATGCCAGAGGAACAATGACCATAGAAAACGGAGCATTTTTGGATGGTACTTTGCTGGTCCTTTCACTCCAGTCCCCTTCATGTTATCTACTCACCACCCATAATGAGAACTGAGTGCTTAAATATACAGAAAAATACTTCATGTGATGTGTTTCCAGTGAGGGAAGTAGGTGTAAAGCAATTTTAAACCTAACTGTTTGAACAAATGAAACAACAGACTTCCCAACCTTTTAATATGCCTCTTTTCATCTTTGAAGTAAAACTTCTTTAAAAAATGTTTTAAGGTACTCTTACTGATCTTTTTTGATCTTCTTTCCCCTGTGTTTAATAGACTGCTCCTGTGACAAATTATTACTAAATAATTACAAATTATTTAGAAGTGTTACATACTGCTTAATTGCAGGGGTTTGTGTATTCATCCTTATCCTCTCAAAACAAGACATATTGTGAAAAAAGGTTGTTTCCTTTGCAATCTGACAGATGAAGAGAATAAAATGCATACATGTTTGCTTTAATTGCTTTGACAGAACAGAAGAGATGATTATGTCTGCATTTTCCTGAATTCTTTTTTACTTCCCCTTTTTTCATGAAAAGAACCTTTGCTTTGTAAACATTGCTCAGGCCTTGCAAAATATGCCTTTGTGCCCCATATGCATAATATCCATGTTCTGTATGAACAGTCAGTTAAGGAGTCCAGCGTCCAATTTGGGCTCTTTCTAGGGTTTCTCTGAAGGCATGCTGATGGTTGGAAATTCTAGAACAAAGTATACTGGTATACACAAGTATTTCTAAAACTTGTATGAGGGAGGAAAGAAAGCAAAGTACAAAGATTTTATTAAGATCACTAATTAGATTAACTTTTTGTCTCTTTTCAAAGTAAGTTTAAAATTTTGGGCTACTGGATTTCAAAGTCTGCAACTGACTTGTGCAAAGTAGCAGTAATTTCCCTGCAAGTGTTCCCTTTTGGAGAGGATTTCATATTGCACTTTCAGAAGAGATCCAAAATACAGAGGAAAAACACTTCAAAGAGCAAAATATACACTTACATTCCTTCCTTTGCTTTAAAACTCCTAAGGCAGTAAGGTATCTTTGCAGGGACAAAAACTTGGTGGTGGATGAAAATGAATCTGTTCTGCCTGTTGAGGCTGAATAGGAAGTGAAAAACAGTGCTGTCTAGTCAGTGGGAATTACAGAGAACTATGCACTCTTTTAACAAATTGACAAAATCTAAGCAGAAGTAGACTTCCTCTTGCACTGGTTGTAGGAATTCTGGTGAGATCTGAGCACTCTTCTTAGTTTAAAAACCAGTAAAAATCGGGGTTCTGTACTTCAGGCTTCTTTTAAAATAAGTATTTGTGAGATCTGGACAAGGTGTTTCTGCTTAGGGCCCCCAAATATGCTTGATTGTGTTTTGTTGTACAGCAGTGAGGATAGAGAAAAAGCTCTTACTTCTGGTGTCTTATTCATTATACATTTGTACTTCTGTACTGTTTGAGTGTGTGCATTGTTCTTAAACTGGGTTTTTTTGTGTTTTGTCTCTTTTTTGGAATCCCTTGCAGCCATTGCTGTTCTCAAGGAAAGGGAACCTGGGTCTTTCATTGTTCGAGACAGTCATTCTTTCCGGGGAGCCTATGGGCTGGCAATGAAAGTTGCCACACCACCTCCTTCTGTGCTACAGTTAAAGAAAGGTACTTCTATATATTATTTAGAAATCTATACATAGTACGTAGTCCTTATTCGTGGGTAGCAATCTGTTGAAATCTTCCCCTATTCTCATAAGTGCTCCTTGAATTGCAGGTTACATTTGATGTGTTGTTAAATGAGACTGATACGATGCCTGTTATACTATATGGTTTGACCATGATTTCTGTTGTGGCTGTGCATGTGTTGTACCTCATCAACCTAACAAAAATCAGTGTAATCTCAGCAATTGGTCTTCCCTAGCAATCAGAATTTTGCATTTGATTCACAGGCTACAATGTAAAGTTTTCAGTCAGCTGGAGGGACGAATATTTTTGATCCCAAAATTTTGTTTTGAGACAGTTCTATTTCAGATATAAATCTGAAGAGATTCGTAAGGGTTATTGTTCAGAAGAAGTGGTGATTTATGTATCTACTCTGTCAGCTCTAGTGCCTCCATGTATAGCTCATGCCTGATAGTTATGAAACATAAAGTGAGAAGAACATGCAGAAATCATTAATGGTTATATGGAAACTCAACAGCCAATATCTGTAGTGTTCTTGGTTCCATGTGTACTACTGCAAGGTTAGTGGAGTGGTTTTTATTGCTGCTGTTTTTCTTCTACAAAGCTTTTTTTGTTTCATTAGTACATAATGACTGGTGAGGTAGCCAATTAAGATTACAGGAAAGCACTTATTCTTAGTGCTGTTTTTATGGAAGTATGGTTTTGACTGATTTTATTTGTTTTTTTGTTTGGCTGTTGGTTTGCATTTGCTTACTCTGCAGCAACTTTATCAGTTCACCTCTATCACAGTAACACTTTGAATTTGTTTTAATCTGGTATCTTGAAACACTTTTTAGTAACAACTTGCCATGTAGTCCTTTTTGTTGCCAATAAACATCAGCAGAACCAGTCCAATGACTTACTTAATGAACTCAGTGTAGGTGTACTGGGGTGATGATAGCAACAACTAGGAGGCAAATTGTAAGGTGGCTTGTAAGTAGTCTTTTCTTACAATCATTGGTAAAGTCCGGGAAGACATGAAAAAGCTCAAAATCTGCCAGCCTTTAAGAGACAGTTTATGTTAGTAGTAGTAAGACTAGCATTCTTCCACTTCTCGCTTCATGATACTTAGCTTTTTTGGTTTCTGCTGTTTAATCCCAGAAGGCACACATGGTTGTGTTTCCTGTAGTGTTTCTTGTTCCAGGCTTTTCCTCCCTATATATCTTATAGTAATTTATTTTTAATTTGTGAGAGCATAACAGCAGTAAGCTATTTGAAAAAGTGATCAGTGCAATATTTGCCTGCACAGTCCATATTAATATAGTCATCTGTATTGGCCTGAAAGTCAACCTTTGACGTGTTTCCTGATAGATCAAAGGGAACACCTGTTTGTAGCTCTTTTGTTAAGGTTTGTATGGTTTGTCCTGTTGGTATGAAATAACCTTTTAACTATTTGGAGAAGGATTAGTTTTGTAGTCAGTTATGAAATACTGTGAATCCATCTTCCAAGAAATATTTGTCGTAATTACATGTCTGCATATATATGTACATGTTTAAAAGAATGTTAAATCTCAAGGGAATTTTTACATATCTCTTGGACTTAGAATCTCCTCTTTTAATCCAACTTTACGGTTTTGGTTTGTCTTAGATTCCTAAGATTAAAACTATCTTAAAATTTAGTGAAACCTTAAGGCTTCATGTAAATTTTTGTTTTCAGGAGCAGAGACTTTGCATGAAACTGCAGGCATTTGGAAATGTAAAAATGCACTGAGAGAATTACCATCATTACTTTTGTGTAGCTTACTCTTCTTTTAATCTAGGGAGCTTCTGTGAACAAAAATGTCATTGGAAATGGGAATTTTTTTCATACTTTTCCTTCTTGTCACTTGGGATACAAGTTCTTTTAGTGGGCAAATGCATCAAAATTTCTAACCATTCATTTTTCAAATTTCTGTTCCCGTCTGTAGCTGTGACCATATTTGGACATTTTTGGACACCAGTGTATATTTGGATGTCAGTCATTTAAGAATATAAAACCATTTCCTCTGTCTGTCTTAAAAGTGAGCTGTCTGCTTATTTGTTTTTTGAAAAACGACCATTTAAATACATCTTGTAACTTGCAGAGTAGGTCTAATTGTATTTTTTGCATTTTGTATATAAAACATTTGGTAGTAATGTGGAAAAAGTGCTTCATAAAGACCTTGTTTGTGAGAGGTGTCTGTTAATTGCTTCTTTTCATGAACTTTCTTTTTCAACACAGTTGGAGATTTGTCAAATGAACTTGTAAGGCATTTTCTGATTGAATGTACTCAGAAGGGGGTACGTTTGAAAGGATGCCCGAATGAGCCATATTTTGGTAAGTACTGTGCATCACAGAGACTTGAGAAGATGGAAACTGTTGGCATTTGCCAGTGCTGACTTGGATGGAATACATATGAGAGACTACTTTGTTTGAGCTCCTGATGAGTTCTGTAGGAGCCCATTCCAAGGTTTCGAGATCCTTTTACACATTTACCATAAGCAGATGTGCAGGGCACTCTAGCATAGATGCACATGACCAGGCTTCAAACAAGTCAAGCTTGTCTATCACTACAATGTTCCTGCAGAAAGCTGACCTAAATCACTCCTATCATCCTAATTGATTCAGGACCTTTTGTCCAGTTTTTATTTATGCCGCATATTAGGTGGATAAAAATGACACCAGAGTGAGATATTCACAAAGTACATTATGCTATGTCAGTATTTATTCAATATAATATGATGGAAGTACCATACCTGTCACGGCAAATAGCCGAAGACGTACCCAGCTGTTGACTCATTTGCTTTCCACTCATGTGGGGTAGGAGGGGAAAACAGATGTGAGAGCTTATGAGTTGAGATGAAAACAGGGATGCTAACCAGTTACAGGGCAAAAGAAACTCAATTGGAAAAAAATATTTAATGTTTTTCCAATTAAAATTCAGGCAGTCAGATGTTGAGGGATAAATTTAGTGAAGATAGCTGGATTTGCAAGCTGGAAGTGCAAACTGCAGATTGATCTATGGGTGTCCCAGGCAAGAAGGAGGCCATGGCCTGCTGACTCTTTGCATAACAAAGGGCTCCAGGACCTGTGTGGCTAGGTGACCAGGTGACCAGAGATGCAGCAGCAGCAGCCAACCCCTAGACTTTCCTGCCTTTTGATTTTTAAGACTATCTCTCCTCTGAGGCACCCAGTTTGAGCTGTTATTTTGTTATTAAGTTGTTGCACTAAAATTAAATTATTTGAGTCTGAGACTCTGCTAAGGGAAACCTGGGGTTGAGCTTCTGAGGAAACATCTGTGTATATACAGTGTGTATATAAGTGTGAGGTGTGTAGCTGTGAAGAGGCTTTGAGCACCTGCTCAGGTGGTGTAAGAGTGACTGCCAGAATGGCTCCTGGATGGTCAGACAGGGAAGTTTCCTTAACGTGAAGAACAAAGACAAATATTAAATAACGCTTTTCCTTCCCCTTTTCCAAGCTCAATTTCACTGCTTCATCACAGACTCCTCATGCCCACTGTAGTGGGTCTGAGTGCATATGGTCATTACTGAACAGTTCCTCTGCTGCTTCATCCCTCTCCCAGTTTTTCCTTCCTGGGATGTGGGCTTTCCTCGTAGGCTGGCATCCTGCAGGGGAAAAAAAACCTGTTTGAGCGTGTGCTCTCTGTTAACCGCAGAAAATGTCCCATCTGTTCCAGTTTGAGGTCTTCCAGAGGCTACAGGGTGGGGGATGGCAACTTGGATACCCAGAGCATCTCCTCCTCCTCCTCCTCCTCCTCTGTCCATGGCATTCTCTCTGCTGTATCTCGCCCAGCCTTTTTTCCATAGGTGCCCTGCAGTGGAATAGGCTGTGTTTGGCATGAAAAGCCCCCCTGAACTTTACCCAGAGGTCATCCTGCAGCCCTCCCAGCCCTTGTTACAGGCCTTTTGACATACACCAAATATACCTGTGAAAGGGTCATCTGCCATAAAATAACAGATGTGAAATTAAAGTAGTATTTAAAATAAAGATGGATTGAAGTTTATCAGTATTTGGTATGAGACTTACCTTAAATGAGAACTTTTAGTCCATTCCTACCTCAATCTTGAAGTACTTGTTTAGGCACCTATGTAGCCCTACTAGCAATTTAGTTTGAACATCTCCTAGTCTTTCAGTTTGCACAGCCTGTGCTGGTTTGAAAATAAACCACAGTGAGAGATGAACCCCACACAAATACCTTGAGAGCAGGTTGGAGTTACAATTTAATAAAAAATATTACAGTAAATACAGTGATACAGAAAAACTGGCTTAAACTCACTAGGTCAGAGTACAATCTCACACCCTGTTGGTCAGGGCGGTGGTCGTAATCTGATTAAATAGTGGTTGCAGTCCTGTTGAAGTGATGGTTGCAGTCTTTTTGAAAGCCATGGTCCTGTGAAAGGTCTGGTCTTCCTCTGGGTCTGTTGAGCACTGGTGGTGGTGCCTCAAGTCCCCAAAACCCCACATGATAAACAGTCAGGTTCAGGTGGTACCTGCCTTGGGGTGGGGAGTTTCACAATGGAATGATGCAATACTCTTGAGTCATTGCAGTCATCCATTCTTGCTAGGGTCATTGCGTCTGGGATGGCCCAATAGCCCCTGAGCAGAGATGACCTCCTCAGGATGGGTGTAGTTACCACAGCCTGAGTTAATTGTGAAGACCATTGTACCTTGCAGGGTTTGCCTCTTCTCCCATATCTAATACCCAGCTTGCAGTCTGAAGGGTTGGGTGCACACTGGGCAGCTGTTAAAAATGGCCCATTGTTAACACTTCATCAAGAATTACATAGATGGGCATAAGACAGGAAAACTGGACAGGACAAATGCAGATCAGGCCAATGTGGTCAATCAAACATTCTCCGTTTATTAGTTAGAAGATGGCAGTTTATATACACTTCAATATAATTTACAGCTTACAAAGGCACTCTCAATGGCAAGCTAACATTGTTTGTCTTTGTCTTAAGGTGAACTAAATTCCACACAGTAAACTTATACAATTTACACCCAGAAAACCCAGTGCTGCACGTCCATACCTTAATATAATTTCTAACTGGGCCACAAACTTTTTCTTACTGCGTCATAGGCTTTCAAGGCCTCACAAGGCCCATACCTGAGGCCTAGACTGGAATAGCTCAAATCTCATTCCAGCCATAAATCATGCCCTCTCTCTCTCAGAAATTCTGCAACAGATGGGAGTAGAATACATAGCTTGGTTACACCCCATATTGTAACCCAAGACATAGGCTCAAAACTGGTTCACAAAGTAGGTGAACAGGCACTATTACACATGTTTATGGGTAAGATTGTGAAGGGCTAATAGTATCAATCAGTCTTTGCATTTATGTAAGACCCTTGTAAAATTGGGTTATCATTCTGTTTCAAATAAATTTTTGATGGACTGTAAAGATGTGGTTGGTTTTCGTTGAACTGGGATTTTTCTCCAGCACATGGTTGTAATGTTAGTAAGTGGGATTGAAGGATGGCTTTTTGTACAAACAGGCTGATGAATATTATGCCTTCCTCTTACTCCTTAGTCTCACATGCTAATATCAAAGATAACTAATATTGAATGACTTCAGTTAAGCCAAGACCAAATTGCAAGGGTGACTTTGAATAAAAAAGAAGAATCATTTAATAGAGAATGCTATGTACATCACTTCTGCATTGAATAGAAGAGGTTTTACCTGGACTATCTCTTGTACCTTCAGAATTACAAAATAGAGGTGTGTATAGACAGAACATGATGAAGACTAGGTGGCTATGAGGTAGAGGTTGCTTTTTTTTACCTCATCATGTGGCATAAGCAACCTCTTGTGCTCTTGCCATCTTCATAAGAATTTACTACATTTAATGTAGCAGAAGCCAAGAGCCTTGAAAAGAATTTGCTGACTTGTGTATGTTACTGATTTTGTAATTTTTGTGCTTTCTTCATTTGAAGTACAGACATTTAGGTTAGGATCTAAGCAGTGTATATAAGAGGGAAAGGGAACATATGATTTTGATTAATGAGTTCAAGATCTTGGCTTAGGTCCCAAGAGATTTTTAAAGTGAAGCAGAGGGAGCCCTTATTCTGTAAAATACTTGAGAGTAAACATAACTTAAGCATTCTTGTTGCCTACCAAGTTAACTGTGCATGTCTTGTTACTTTTCTGACCACAGGGAGTTTGGCAGCTCTGGTGTATCAGCATTCCATCACTCCACTGGCATTGCCCTGCAAGCTCCTCATCCCAGACAGAGGTATGCTTGTTGAAGTACAGACGACATATTCCCAGCCAAGTTTTGCTTCAAAGTGTCAGTGTCTGAAGGCAGGTGAATAGTCACAAGTTGAGATCTAAGCAGAAACTCACCGAGGAGGAAGCTGTGGTGTTGTCTTCAGTATTGATGATGACCCTTTATCCAAAGTGTGGTTGTGAGCATACTGGTACTGTGATATTTCCAGTCATAAATATATATTCATCATAGAAATCCATGCAGTAATTTACCATGTGGGAAGACAAATATACTTCTTAGGCATAACATTATGCCCATGTATGGTTAGGCTTAACCACTCATTCAAGTCTGGATAGCAAAAGGACAAGTAGATGAAGAGTAGATGGTGCCCTGAGTGCAACACCGGCAGGAAGAGTGTAGCAACTTGCGCAGGTTCAAATATTGTTCAAGTAAATGATCAAAAAGCCTATGTTGCTTCAAGGGATTATGATTCTAATTTTGCTTATACCGATTTCATAAACCACTCTAAGACAAAAACAAAATGCTCATGCTTGTTCAATAATTCAGTTGTCTCACATTCTCCCACATGAAGTTAACCCTAGACACATTATTGAAATATTAAATGTTTTTGTGGTTTATGACTTCAAAGACTTTTTTGAACCCTTTAAACTTTTGTCACAGACCATATGTTAACATACAAAAATAGCATTTGATTTATGCAAATACATCAGTGAAACCATTTTAGCATAAAGATATGCTGTGGTTGATGTGACAAGAGATCTCATATGGCAAAACAGTGTGAAGGTTGTCTTGTTCTCTTTATCCCCCCTCACCTAAGATGGAAAACTTACTCTGTTCTTCCAGAGGCATAGGTAATAAACATACCAAAGTGAAATTTTATTTTAGTTTTATTTTTAAATCAAATTTGATAATGCATTTTCAGATGATCTTCTGTAGTTAATGACATGATACAATGCCTGGAGTATTTAAAATGTTCAGAAAACTGTAATTAACCATATGAATAGTGTTACAAACTGTATTATGGCTCCCTTCCTCATTTGATTATATTCAGAGACAGCATGCCTCATGCTAAATGCAGCAGTGAGATCTTATATGCATTTATATAACTGAAATAACATGCTGGTGGACATTTTTCTTACTACATTTAACAGTCAATTGGGAGGAAATGTTCACTGCTATTTTAATGGTTCAGATGGGTTTTTTTCAGCGTAAGAAGAAGGTTTTGTTGTCATCCTCTACATCAAGATATAATTAATTGATTTCACCATGGTAACACAGTCTATCTGTATAAGTTACTGTAAATTATACAAATCAAATTATATAATTAAAATCACACTAGTCAATATATTTTTGGCTGTAGTGAGAGAATAGAGCTATAAGTATTGTCTTAATATGTAATCATGTGAGTCCCTACAGTATATGCTTGTGTTATGTTCTTTTATTGTCAGGAAACAAAAGTTAAGCATCCTGCTTGCAGTGCTTGAGGCAAAAAAAAAAACCAAAAAACTGATGCAGCACAAAACCTACATAGATGATTATAATTGCAGATAAAAGGTGGTTTCATGTTTCTGGTCAAGAGTTGTCCAGGAAATGAGATCACAGTTATAAGTGTAACAGCTCATAAATGACTGTGGACTTTGATTTGTTGATTTAAGTCCCTACAAGACAATGTTTTCTGTTGGCAGATCCCTTGGAGGAGGTAGCAGAAACTTCCCCACAAACTGCTATAAACTCAGCTGCGGAGCTTCTCAAACAGGGTGCAGGTCTGTTAAACTTTTACCCTTTTATTTGACTATTACCAACGTTTGTATCTTACAGGTTGGGAGAAGCTGAAGCTTAGACTGGATTAGAGAATATGTAAAGGTAGCAGCTAAATTTATTGTGCTGAGTAAAAGTGTAAAGGGCATTGTAAGGGTATGTACCAAGTTTCTTCTGTTTTCTGCAACCAGGTCCTACATTCTACAACCCTGTGTTTCATTTCCCATCATGTGTCTCATGAGAATATGAGGTATATGTAGGTTACTTCAAACATAGCAATTTTTAAGCAGGACATTGCTTTCATAACTGATAAACTTTAAGAGGATCTTCTCAACCTGTGGTTGCAGAGGTTCAAGAAGACCTATGTGTGAGGTCTGCAAAAGCCAACTAAGGAAGGTGTTCAGTTAGGATTAAGTTCTCATCATAGGAGTTAACAATACCACTGCAAAATGCTTACTGTTGCATCAATCTGAAAAAGATATTAAAGAACAGGGTTTTTTTTACTTCACTTGGTGCTGCACGTTCTTAAGAAATGTCATGTGTCTTTTCCCTGCATGCTTTTATGGATTCTTACGCACAGTGCATCACCCATTCTGGCAAGTTGAATTGTGTTACCACAAGCTTATTTGATGTGTTAAGAGGAACCATGACCAGAGTATGTCCAAATTATGTGATGCTATGCCCTGTTACCATCTGTATGGCTCTAATACTGGGGTGTTTGCAAGAGCTGTGTAAAGGTGTGCTCTGCTTCTTATCTGCTTTGTTAGTGTGCAGCTGATCCAGAGAACTAATTAAACAGCCTGTCTGAAGAAGTATGGTGGCATTCTAACTCACCGTGTTGGACGATGCTCCAAGAACTCCTGCATAATCTTAAAATTGTACTTGGTAGAACTGCAACCAATGGTGTTACTCTGCTGTACAGTGGGCATGTCCAGGGGGTCCTGCCCATGTCCTGCAGTGGTGTTTGGTTTTAAGGTTGCTATGCATTCTCCTCAGAAGCCACCCAACTAGTGCCATTAGAGCACAGGAATACACTACATTTGCCACTTTCTTTTGAGTTTAGCCTACCCCTGGATCCACAAGTGAGTACTATGGCAAAGCATGTGTTTATAAGAATGCTGCCTCATTGCCTTTATGCATTTTTAGAGCACTTCTGAAGGGGCAGTTGTCAAACTAGCCAGCTCTGGAGAGAGTGATGCTCCTTGCTTCTGCTACAATCTGCTTTGACTTCAAAATTTCAAAGAAAAAGAAAGAATTATTTCTTCAGCTGGGGTGGTAGTCAGATAAGTCTTTATGGGAGCTGTTGTATCATGGATCACTTAGGGTAGTTAGTACATTTGATTTTAACCTGTTTTGATGATTTTGTTGATTTTGAACAAGGATTTGGAACCCAAGTAGATAAATTAGCTGTGAGAGGTTCTCAGAGGTTGTGTTTTTTGGGGTTTTTTGGTGGTTTTTTTTTTTTTTTTTTTTGCCTTGATACATCAGGGGTCCCTTTCCAGTTACAGAAGCATTCAAGTTGTGGAGTTCAACACTGAAGCGCAGAGCCAAAACATGTAAATCGAGTCCTTTCAGAGAAACTTTAAAGCACATACACTTTCTCCCTGCCCTTCTATACCCACATTTCTCTCACTCCACAAGCAAAAAAATAATGTGTTTTCCTAGAATGATTATTTTTTATAGCTCCATGAAAAACCTGACAAGCATTTTCAGGTTCTAAGTGGTGAAGCTGACTAGAAATCCTTTGCTTCTTAGACACTGACAAACTGAAGACTGGAAACCATACAGATAAGAGGCTTTTACTTAAAATATACCTTGCTTTATTAATCTTCCTGTTCAACAAAATTTTATGCTCAAATAAATTGCAGTTCTTAATTCTCTTTACGTTGATACAGTCAAGAAACTAAGCATTCTGAACAAAGGACATTCCCAGTCTGAAAGCAGCATTGTTAAGCTGTTGATGGTGGCACAGATGTGCTCCAAAATGTCACCTGTGAAAGACAAAGGCAGCAACATTGCAGGGCAGCTACATTGAACAAAAGGTCTTCTTTTTGTTGTAGCTTGGAGCATGGTTTCTTCAGCATTACTGTTCTCAATATCTTGTCCGGTCATGCATGATGTTCTTTAATGACAAATCTTTCTGTGTTTCTCATTATCTCTCCTCTCCTTTTTAAGCTGACATGTTTTCACTTTGCAACACTTTAATAAAAGTTTCCATTTATTATTTTCTGTGCTACAGAGGCAAAGGATACCCTGTATTAGGTAACTGCTGTTTTGAACTATCACTTTGAGGGCAATGGTGGTGGTGTTTTTTTTCCTTAAATTGGGATGTTTGTTCAGTGTTTATTAATTTCCTTTCTCCCTAACCTCCTCCCCTCCCCAGTTGTCAATCTTCCCAAGCTCTTCCCTAGCCTTCTCCTCCCCAAGTTGTCAATCCTCCCTTTCTCTGCCCCCTTCCCTAGAACATTCCCTGTCACTCCTTCCAGTCCCCTCCCCTTCTTCCAGAGTGTTCCCTGTCCATTTAGTTACACTCAACACCCTATTGGTTACTTTGTGTTATTCCACTCCCCTATTTCCCCTTATAGGTTTATGATATGTCAGTCCTGCTTTAGACCCCTCCCCAGCTCTACCCTCATTGGTTATTGTTCCTACACCCCTCCTCCCGAGTTCCTGTATAAAACCTTTGTTAGCCCTCCCAAGCTGGTCGTGGGGCTCCATTATCTTCACTGAATAAATCCACCTTGTTACATCCCAAGCCCTGTGTTGCCTCCATCTGTTCCTGTGCCGATAACTGGGATTGCAGAGCTTGCAGGGGGACAATTGCACCTCTCTTCTCTCACCACCCAGCACGCAACCGCTCAGAGCATCCCGGCAGGACGCAACACAACAGGCAATCTGGATAAAATGCTTGGAAATTTCATTTAGAAACAAAACCTGAAAACAGTCTGTCGACAGCAATGCACTATGTGGCAGAAGAGGAAGGGACTCTGATGTGTGTGACTGTAAAAGAAGGGAAACTTCCTGTTCTGGGGAAAGACCCACAGGATAGTGCTTTAGATCTGTAGTGACCATACGTAGTAATGAGGCAAGAAGAAGAGAGCTTTATGGTTTGGAAGGTTCATTACAGTTTTAGGTTGTTACTCATCATCTTAAGACTTCTCTGCATGAATTTAATTCATTCAAGCAAAAATTATGGCAATTTTCACAGCAATGCAAAAATGTATTTTTGAAATTTTAGACTTGCAAATCAAATTAATGAACTCTCAGGATCCCTTCCTTCACTGATGGACTCCAGAGCTTGAAGTTACTGAGCTGATCATTATGCTGGAGTCAAACATAGGCTTATGCACTTTTAAACTGTATGATTACTTGGTTGTTTTGAAAGTGACAGTGTCTAGCTGTATAATTTTATGTAGATAGTCATAGGAGAAATCTTAAGATAGGTTACAGAATAACTAAATAAAAAGATAAATTGTTAGATTTAATTTAATCTTTGCTTTCATAGTAATGTTGGCAAACCAAATGAAACTGCTAAACAGATGAAATGTAACCACGGTAATTTGTATGTGTCAACTGACAGAGTTGTAAATTTTGTCCTGGATACCTACACAAGGGTTTTTACCAAACACTAAATCTCTTGGTGCTAGTGTTTAGCTATGGATGTGTATAATCATTCTTGCTTGTTCTTAATTTGTTTGTAAATTTGACTTTATACCTCAGTTCTATAGTAAGCATGTGAATCATTCTGTTATTTCCATATAATAGTTCATACTTTAGATGGCACTGTACTATGTAGTATTATACAGTAGTACAGTACTACTGTATAATGCTATATAATGTTAATACATATTTTTGTAGTGCTCACTGCAAATTTGATACAAAACTGTGTAAAAAAAAAGTTAACTGTTTGGTAACTTAGAAACCAGTGAGCATCTATTTTATAGCGATATTTCAGAAGCTGCTAATATCTCTGGAAGAGGAATAGTACTTTTAGAAGTAAGTGCATGCTGAAATAAAGAAAAGGCCTAAAAATGTATGTCAGTAATTTTTATCAGTATGGAAATTGTTTTACTTGCTCTAAAATCATTAAATGTACAGAACACTGTTAATGAGAATTAATGAGAAATGAGCTTTGAAATAACCCTCAGTTATTTTTGGTGTGAAAACAGTCTTGTCTTGCCAATCAAGTGAATGGTTTCCTTTGAATATCGTTTAAATTTGAAACTGTAGATCATGTGAACATATGCTGCAAATGTGTATTTTCTTACTGGCTGATGTATTTGAACTTAAAAGCAAAATATCCCCGTTTTTTCAGGAATGCCTTTGCTCCAGTACTACCTACATGTGTACTCTCTGGTGTTGTCTTGTATATATTTCAATTTCAGGATATCTATGGGTAACAGATAAATCTAGTCGTTGGCTTTGATATAAAAGCGTTAAAACCAAAGGGAGAGTAAAAGGTCTATGACCTCTCAAAATCTTTTCCCTCTTTCATTACAGCTTGTAACGTTTGGTACCTGAATTCAGTAGAGATGGAGTCCCTCACAGGATACCAGGCAGTACAGAAAGCCTTCAGCCTGACGCTGATGCAAGATCCGTCTCCTATCTCAACCACTGTCCATTTCAAGGTGTCTGCTCAAGGAATCACACTGACAGATAATCAAAGAAAGTAAGCAAATAAAGAAGGGAAGGGAATATCTGGCCTTGTCCTTGTCAGGTGTTGGCCGCTGTTGATTTGGCATTCCTAGTGACATTTTGCAATCTCCGTCTCAGAGGATACCAGGATTATAGGAATGATGGTGACTGTGTTAAGATGGCTGTAGTACAGGAAAATACATTTTTAAGTTGTGGACTTTATTTCAACCTGGCGTATTTTACCTTTGGAAGGTCATTTTGTTATGACATTTTTTGTTATTTCTTAGGAAAGTAATGGCTTTGCTAGCATTTGATATTGAACCTATTCTGTGAAATAATTTATCTTCATGATGTCTTTCAGCAGTATTACTGAACAGACCTGACTTAAGCAGATTATGTATATCTATCTCCAGGATCTGAAACAGTGTTTTGGATAGCCTGTAAAAAACTATGACAAAAGGTTAATTTATATTTACTTTGTTCTAAGTGCTACTTAGGCTACCACAAACTTTTCAAATTCAAAAAATTACAATAACAAAGGAAGGACAACAGGAATTCATTATAGGTTAAAAAAAAAGTGCCATATTTCTTCATTCCATGGGGTTTGCAATCATTTGTAGCAGATCAGAGAACCTTTACCTTAAATGTAATGCCTAGGAATATTTTGAGACTTAATATGATCAAATTATTCATAAGTTCCACAAAGTCGTCTGTCCCACTAAAATAGTATCTAAATGGCCAGTTTTTCATACTCCTAGCTCTGACGTTGAGAATCAGTTTTCCTTAAGTTCAAAAAACTTCATGTTAGTGTTTCAAATGTATTTATTGGGTTGAAACAGTTCAGGTAGATTTCAAAATCACTGAACGATAACAAAAAATATTGTATTAAATTAAATACAATTTATTTTTCAGATTATTGTTTAGAATTGTAAGGATCTGTATGTACTGTTTCTGAAATTTGTTTTCTTTCTTCCTATCCAGACTCTTTTTTCGGCGACATTATTCAGTCAACACTGTTATTTTCTGTGCTTTGGATCCACAGGACAGAAAGTAAGTATGACAAGCAGTATTTTTAATATGTTATTATTACAAACTAACTAAAACGAATATTTTTATTTCTCCATTCTATGTTTACTGCTTTCTTAATGGACAAGGTGGTTGAAAGATGGCCTTTCTGCAAAGTAAGTAGTGTCTCTTTTAACTGAATGTTTTAGGAATATCCTTAAAGTGATCAGTTTCTTGGTGTTCTAAATTACTTCTGTCTGAGATGTGGAAGGGAAGGCATCTGTTCAGAGACAAAAGCCTCTCAGCCCTCTGTAACTGGTTACTTCATCTACACCTCTGCAAATTGGGGCCTAATTATGTGATGAGTGGGGGTGGGAAGTCTGGAGCCAGAGCTAGCATGGTTTATTTAGATTTCGAGTCTGTGATTTGACTGTGGTTTCAGGCATCGGAGATGTTTGTTCTCTCAGTTTTGTGTTCCACCTGTCCAATAACACTTGACATAAGCTTTTCTCACTTAGACTCATAGCTTTAAAAAAAATCTGTCTCCTGGTACATAGATGAAAACACTCCTACTAATATTAGTGTGTGGCATAAATACATGATTACTGTGGATTGCAAATTGTTTTCTGTTGAAGGCAAACGTTGTTGTCACCCTTTAATCAAAATAAATAACTTAGAGAGGCTCAGCACTTGTTTCTGGAAAAGAGCAGAAATAGATGGCTTAAATCCTTTTTCCAATACTCTGTCCACTAAGATGTGTGGTCCTCAAAATCCTCTCTCTGGGCAATCCCTGGCACACCACACCACACCACTTGCCCCCCCCAAACTAGGTAGAGAACAGCAGTATTGAATCAGATTATATCTGATATATAGATATATATATATTCTGAGATATATATCAGAAATACATCTGCAGGGTTAGCAGCATGTCTCTGAGAGCAAACAGTACAGGATGGCATATGGACAGAGTAGAAGGAGGGGGACAGTCTGCTTCCCTGATTCTCTCATGAGCTGGCTGGTGCATCTGGACCATTGTGTTTAGCACCACATGGAACCTTGTCCATCAGAACAGAGAAGTCTGCTATGTGTGCTTGGTTTCTGCATTATCTTTTCTGTTTTATGAAGTGAGGCAATGCCTACCTGTCATTTCTCTGACATACTTTGATTGCTGCCCTTGCAGAGTGTTTGGGTTCATTGCCAGGAAGCAAGGCGGTGCCACAGACAACGTATGCCACCTCTTTGCAGAGCATGATCCAGAACAACCTGCCAGTGCCATTGTAAACTTTGTATCAAAGGTCATGATTGGATCCCAGAAGAAGATCTGATGCCTTTCCATCCTTGATTCAGAATTCATTGCTGACTTCACTGAAGGAAATCACTCTGAGAGGGAGAAAGGCTATTCAACAACATCTAAATATTGTCATTCCCAATAAGGAAAGCAGAGAATGATCAGTGTATTGTGTTTGTGAGAGCTCAGGCTTTTATTTCAAGATGCTTCACAAAGCACTATTTCTTTGTTTTTATATCAGAGGACAAAACAAAAGAAGCTGGGTGCCACACTAAACCACGTAGCCTTTACATGAAGCATAAATGAAGAACTTTTCTCCTGATGGGTTTCTAGTGTATCTTCATATGCTGTTTCTCATAGTTTATTGGAGCAGGAATACTTAGTAGATTGCGCTACTTTTTTGTTCAGGAAGTGTTTTGTAAAACCTCCACAAAGGCACTTGCCATGGTTGCATCAATGGTAGTTATAGGCATTGCAAACATGCTTTTAGGAGAATGATCATTTGAGGAAAATTATTTGCTCTTCCCTATGTCTTTGTGATGAGTGATGAGAACTGAATGGATAAAGGGGAAGATGTATGTGAAGAGAAGTTTTGTGCAAGTTGCTTTCTGGTAAGAAAGGAGTGGCAGTGTGGGATATTCAAGAAGATTGCTCTGTATTTAGTGTTAAGAAGGCTGAGCTGGTTTAGTTTGAAAATTTTTCAATAGAGCAGAAGTGGCAGAACAAAAAGAGGTGTGAAAATCTGGTCTATTATTAGGGTTTTTTTTGGAATTTTTTTAAATACAGAGAACTAAGCAGGGGAGATTAAGCATTTCAGTAATTACAGGATAAAAATGAGGGAAAAGCAAAGAGGAAGATTTTATAATTTATGCATTTTTACTAGTGACAGATTATTTATAGTGGATCTCAGATCTTGGTATATCAGAGAGATAATTCGTAAACTAGACCACTGTTAAGCTTTACCTTTAGCACTATTTTGTGTAAGTAAATGTGTGTGTAGCTTGTGCCTTGGTAGAGACAATAGTTGGATATTTTGTCTTTTTTCATACAGTGACAAGACACTTCCCATTTTCTGCCTCTGCAATACTGTTTTATTCCCCTACATAATATGTAATTATATTTATGGATTCTTCTACCCCATTATTTTGCTGGAGTTTTGAGGATTATTTTACCTTTTTTTCTTTTCATCTATAGGAACTTAATTTGATTTGTTATTCCTTGAGTTAGAAAATCTGAAAGTGAATGGAATTAATTTTGTTACTTCATCCCATTTCTTGAGAGCATTTATGTCATGATTTCTACATCCATCACACTTGTACATATCTCTTTATCTTTCTTAACACATTGATATTTGAAATGCATAAGAAAGTGCTATTTAGCTTTATAGAGAATTGATGCAGTAGGTTACAGTGGAAGCCTGCACAAGGAGAGTAAGCCACTGAGATCTCCTGTGTATTTCCCATTCACTCAAAAAGAGCAGTACTAGACCCCTGTATGAGAACTGATGGTTATAATGCAAATTCAGTGTGGCAAGTGCTGAAAAAATTCATTGCTTCTATTTCTTTCATGTGTAGCTGTCAATATCCTGTTAATAACCTGAGGAATAAAATAACATTCTGTATTTTGCATGTTGATGAGCCACTTTATTCACATGTAGATTTTAATCCTTTTATCCACCAGTTTGAACTACATTTGTCCTGTATAAAATATGGGGTTTTTTTTAACAGCTCTCTTTGTATTTCCTGAAGTATTAGGACCGTGTTAAACCTTACTCAGTGACCATAGCTGAAGTGTTACCAAATTATTTGTGTAACTACAATTTTGTGTAAATAACTTTATGTTTTTTAAGAGGAAAGTGGTGAGGAAGAGAGAGAAGAAATATTTGAAGTTTAATGTATTTGTTCCAGAAAGTGTTTTTTTAGTAGCAGTAGGCCTTGGATATCTGTAGAATGGCGAAGCAATCCAAAGTGTGGAATTTAATAGCTACCATTGAAGCAACAAAGGCAAGTACCTCTGATTAGTAACATATAATTCTGTTCTTTTGACACAGAAGTATACTACTTAAACAGTGTTTATGTACCATCCAAAAAAAAAAAAGCAGTTCTTACATCTAGGAGCTTTGCTCCTTTTATAAAATGTGAGAACAAGTTTTCTTTTAAGATTCTTTTGATGTACAAAGATTCCAGTTGCCTAATCTCATCACCCTGTTGGAGCCCACAGAAATTCTTCAGCTGATATCTCAAGTAGATTTAAGTCTCAATTAGATTTTAATCTGATGTGTTGTAAGAACTGAAATGAGGAGGATTTTTTTAAACTATATTTTTTCACTTATGTAGATAATAAATTCTAGTGTGTCTTCTTAGACACTTAAGTGCTGGCCTTTGGGCTGAAAATAAATCTTTTTTTCCCCATATATTGTCATTTCCATTCAGGACCTTATTTTTTATTTCTTGTGCTTGAATTCAAAAGCATGAGGGATTGCATGCTGACACTCCTGGTGGTGTTTTCTGGGAGTTTAGCTCTATTGCTAAGTGGGAAAAAAGAAGTTACCTTGTTTCTAAGGGAGATTTTCTATTTTGCATTCCTTTGGATGGTATATTGCCATGTGCATTTGCTGTTTAATTAATTTAAAAATTGAAAAAGCAAGATAGTTCAGTATGTACCATTATATAGTCTGTAGAAAAATATTCATGCAACATATATGTTCATAGCAAATACAAAACTAATCTTTATATAGCACTTTTTAAAAAGATTTTTGGTAAATGTGTGTATGCAATTTCATAACTAGTGGCAGCAAGTTGGCACATATATTTAGCCAGATTCCTGTTAATGTGGTTCGTAAATACACTATTATAATCATACAGTGTTAAACTACAAAAATTCTAAAAGCCACGTTTGTAGTTAACGGTTTCACTGTATCCAATACTGTCATTAAATATTTAATGTTTCTTTCTTGGTTTTTCCTACTAGTGAAAATTTTTACTTTTTTCTTGAAACTGTAAAGAAGCCTCTAAATGTCTTCATTATACAAATGAATGCTTTGTATAGTAATTTTCTCTGCTCTTCAAATACCGTGTCTTTCAGATTATAATAAAATTATGAATGTGAAATTCTACCATACAGTGTCCCAGGGCAGTCTGTTCTGAATGAAAGTTACCTTCTGGCATTTGAAATCAGCTAATAAGCAAAACCTTCTTCATTAATTAAGAATAATTTGCATGCTGCAGTTTAGTTATAAGAAACGTTTGAGATTTCTTTCAAGGACTTCAGATGACCTTGTGTTAGTGGTTCAAGTCAGTTGAAGCATATGATTTTCCTAGTTAATTTGTGGTTATAATGGTATAAAAGTATCTATTGCTTGCATTGCATATTTCAGTGTAAGAAGGGAGAATATGATACCATTCTCTGAGATATTGTAACCATTTAACTTCCCCTCCACTGAGCTTACGCTGGAAAACCTTCCAGAGGGGGCTGAGAAGTTTAACCCCTGGCTGAAACAAGTACAAAATCAGTGCATCAGACAGACAGTGAAGGTTATACATGCTTTATCAGGGTTATTTCTGAGGTTGATAAACTCTGGCAGGTCATGTTTATGCCTTTTCTGTGAGTGTCTTCGTTTGAAAAGACAGGTGTCTGCTGCGGAAGGCAGGAGCCTCCCCTGAAATGGAAAACGTAAACACCCTCCCTTCAAATTGTTATAATTTTGAAATTAAGGGGCTCTCAGGTAAAGATATGGGAGCAGGAATAACAGTTCCTTATTAGGGAAGAAAATAAAAATAAAATAGACAGTGCAGTAATACAAAACAACACTGACAGAGTCAGGATATGACCTGACACCCTGTTGGTCAGGGTGTTGGTAGCAGTCCAGTTGAATGGTGTCTGCAGTCCTCCTACAGTGGCAGGTGTGGTTCTGTTGAGGCAGTGCTCCTGTAGAAGGGTGTAGTTTTCCTCTGAAGATCCAGTGGTGGTGTAGACAGGCCTGATCTTCCTCTGGGAATACAGTGGACAAGAAAGGTGCTCCTCTGGGAATCCAGTAGAAAAGGCTGCCTGTGGTGTTCCAAATCTCAGATTATATCCAGGTAGGAATGCTTGGCTCATCCCTCTGGGCAGAGCACCTCCCAATAGGATGATGTAATTTTATCAGTGAGTCTCAAAGGCCCATTAGCAGAAGTTATCTCCTTGGAGGGAGGATTAGTTGTGGAAGAGATGAAAAAAACCTGCCCAATTAACAGAAGATAACTTCTCCCACCTCTAACAGATGATAATAGAACACACGCCCCCACCCACATCTTGCAACCCAGGACAGTGAGGCATACACTGGCAGGAATTTTTCATTCAGTGTGCTTGGCTGTCATTCTTCAGCACAGGTGATTGCGAAGTTTATGCATGGTTGTAAAGTGAGATTTATCTGTTAAAAGTATTGGTCTTTTATTAGAATGGATTAAAATGTGGAACAGATGACAAGGATGCAATAGTGAAATGATTTTCTGTGTCAAGAGTCCAGTCTCTCCTGTTAAACTCTCGTCCTTGAACCTGGATGCCTTTGTGTATGTGTGCTGCTGTTGGATGCCTTTTAAGGCTGCTCTGGAGTCTCTTTGCACCAGTGGAAGAAAATATGCTTTCAGGATTCATCCTTGATGTTTTCACAACTTGTTTATATGCAGTTGTTCTTACTAGCAGTGTTCCTCATAGTATCAATAACTGTTCTCTCGTTGAGATATTTATAGTAGGAAATCTGCTTCCTCTTGTGTCCCTCAGTCTTCTTTTGGCAAGGCTAAACAATTCAGCACTTGGCCAGACTCTGTATAAAAGGGGCAGAAGCTGCTGCCTTGTAATTTTTTGTATGTTTGTATTAGAAAACTCTTGGAACAAGAAAACTTGACCCATGAGATAGGCAGGGTAAATCCCTCAACTGTTTCTGCTGTTGATATCTAGAATAAAGGTAACAGTAGTGTAAACTGTATCAGGCGGTGTGGACAAATGAAATAAATTACAAAGGCAAATAGCTGAAGAAGTTTTTTAAAACCAAAGTCAGAAACAGGAAGCTTGCGGGAGACCTAGCATATCTGGCAAACTACCAAGAGGGCAAAGAGAATTAAAGGATATTGCTGAATAACTGAGAAAAGATTTGCATCACATATCACAAGGGATCTCAAACCGGAACTATTCCCTTTCTTTGGAGACATTTAGTGTTTCACAATGTACAAATGTTTGGACCAGTTTTATTATTTGCAGAATCACAGGGTGGTTGAGGGTGGAAGGGGCCTAAGGAGATAATCTAGTCCAGCTCTGTTGTCTAAAGAGGGACATCTAGAGCCATTTGCCCAAACAGCTTAAATTCACGAAAGGTAGCATCTCCAGTCTCCCTGGTCAATTGGTGGTAATTCCTAGTCACCTTCACAGTGTTTCTTAATACTCAGAGGTAATCTCCAGAGTTTCAGTTTGTACAAATCACCTAGTCCTGTTAAGGAGCACCACTGCAAAGAGCCTAGCACCCACCATAAATACAATGTGTATTTGTACACACTGATGAGCTCCCCCTAAAGCTTCTTTGCCAGGCTGCACAGCTTCCACAGCCTCAGTTTTGTGTCATCGACAAACTTACTGAGGATACACTCTGCCTGATCATCCATCCAGATCATTGATTAACATGGTATAAAGGATCCGACCCAGTATAGATCCCTGGGGTAGAGCACTAGTTACTGGCCTCCAACTAAATCTTGCACTGCTCATCAGCAGTGTTAGTACCCAGCTATATAGGCAGTTTTCAATCATCTTTATTGTCTGCCCATCTAGCTACATCAGCAGCTTGTTTATGAGGATGTTATCCCATACAAGTCTCAGAGGCCATACTGAAGACCAGGAAGACAGTATCTATTAGTTTTCCCTTGAGCTAAGCCAGTCATTTCATTACAGAAGGTTGATCAGCGATGACTTCCTCTTAGTGAAGCCATGCTGACTCCATGGAGGTGAACAGAGGGCTGGAGTATTTCCCCTATGAAGACAGGCTGAGTGACTGTGGATGGTTTAGCTTTAATAAAGTGAAGGTTCCAGGGAGACCACAGCCTTCCACTACTTAAAGAAGGCTAACAGCAAAGATGAGGAAGGACTCTTTATCAGGTAGTGTAGTGATCAAACGATGGGTAGCAGAGTAATGGCTTTAAACAGAAAGTTTAGAAGAGGAAGTCCTTTGAGTCAAAGGGTGGTGGGGCGCTGGAACAGGTTGTCCAGAGAAGTGGTGGATGCCCTATCCCTGGAAGTGTTCAAGGCCAGATTGGATTGGGCTTTAAGAACCTGATCTAGTGGAATGTCTTCCTGCCCTTGTAAAGATCTTTAGAGATCTTCTCCAATTCAAAACCATTATATGATCTGTGATTCTGTGGCCCACAAACAGGTGGTGCTTTGCCTTGTGAAGATTCCTTCTCTATGTACACATTTTGGCAGTGTTTTATGGAAGGTGTTCTGAGTTGCAGCTAATTACTGGTGCCTTTACAGTAAGATAAGCAGTGTTTGCAAATGGTTTTACCTCAAATTTCTGCATGACCTTTTAAAAAAATTAAGTATTTAAAATCATTAAAATACATTTTCATAATTGTAAAAATCTCCTAATGTCTTTGGTAGCATTATTTGAAGAGTTGTTTAAAAAGCAGAACTAGCTTTTTATGTAACAATTACTTACTTTATGTTACATGCTGTCCTCAAATTTCATTGTACATATCTACAACTATTTGTATCCAGTTTAATTAAATTTGACTTTCGGATTTTTTTCTGTTGCCACTTGTATTATATACAAGTCATGATTTGTTTGTAAAGCAGATGCCAAGTATGAAAGAAAATACAGAAAGACTAACTTGGATGAAATGTTCTATGGATGGGGCATCAAAATGAGGAATGGAATTGGCCCAGGAGACCTGTGCGCTTGTGTTTACTCTAGTAGAATAATCCAGCTTTAAAAATAAACAGGACTATGTTGATTGAAGTGCTCATTTCAAGCCTTTCTGTTTGCAAGGTAATGTGAAACTCCCACTAAAGCATATGGTAATCCCTAACACCTAGGGTATGTGAGTGATGAGAGGAGGCCCTCAGATTTCAGCAGGGAGCTTCACAGCACACAGATTTCTCCCTGCATATGAAAATAGTTAAAATGCGTTTGTATAACTTAATTCTACCATAAACTTGGAGTCATATTCTCATGTAAAAGCATGTTTTGCTCCAGCTGACAAAAAGACAACCCCTAAAAGTAACTACTAGATGAAATAATTTTCCTTGTTGGAGCACTCAAACAACTTCTAACCACTTCAATCTCTTTCCATAACAAGTATCTGGTACCAGGTATTTGAAATAGCACTTAAAAGTCTGTTAAGGGTTTTTATGAGGAAATGTGGCTTAACATGTGTCCATAAGTTCTGTCACAAGGCAGTTAGGAAAAAATCCCTAATGGTGGTATTGATCATGTAGTGGCATAACTACAGTATATGGTATATGCATGCTCTGAAACCTGTATGTAAATTTGTTCCTGTCAAATATATATTTGATCTCATGCCAATTGAAGAACATCCAGGTTTTTTTCTGTATTACTTCTTACATGGGACTCATCCATACATGTTTCTCAGCAGAAATGGAATAAAAATGGTTTGAATCTCTTCAGTGGCAATATTTAGTCACCCTTCACTGTAACTTAGAACTTTTGTGCCTCATTTTGTTAGAATAAAGTGCTGAATAGCTCAGAATTTTGCTTGCTTCTACCTCTGATACATTTGTTCCGTGTGGAATACTTCCATGCCTAAATCTTAGTCCAGTTCTTTGAGTGACATACAGTCTGAGTATACATTTTCCTGTGTGCACTGTCACACAATGTATTGGTTTTGCATGGCCTGGTTTTTGGTAGCAGGGAGGCCACAGAGGTGGCTTCTATGATAAGCTGCTAGAAGCTTCCACCATGTCTGGCAGAGCCAATCCCTGATACCTCTGAAGATGGACATGCTGCTGGCCAAAGCTGGGCCAATTAGAAAGGTTGGTAATGTCTCTGTGATAACATATTTAAGAAGAAAATCAAAACAAAGTGAAGGCACAGTATTTTCTAGCCAGTGATGCCTATATAACTTAGATGGAAGT